AAAAACCATCTGTTTTTACAAAGCAACCAAAAATCATTTTTCTTTTCTCTCAAAATGTGAGTTCAACAACGTAGTACCAGCAGAAGTTTACCACAGTAAAAGATAAAGTCAAATGTTTTTGTTTGTTTGTTTGAAAGGTGGTGTTTAGGGCTAGCCCCTCTCGTGGCTCTTTTGTCAAAAAAAATCCTTTTTATTTTTCTATAAGCAAACACCTCTATAAACGCGGCGTCATTTGTTCAGGAGTTTATTGAGTCATTAAACTTGTCATTCGTTTTCTTCGCTGAAGAAGTAAGAGTTAAAAAACAAAAGGGCCACGAGAAGAGCTAGTCGTAGGCATTAGCTTTCAAACAAAAACAATTTAAGTCTATAAAATGAAGGCCCACAGAGCAAATTTGGTATTACGATAGGACTATATTTGACTCTTCTTTGGTCAATATCTCTATCAAACGTCATTATATAGGACCGAAAATTTTACTATAGTAATCGCTCACCATTCTCAACATATCCTGAAATTTTTATGCAATTTGGATGTTTCTGAGCTGAGATTGATTTTTAATTTTAAGGAGAGGGGGAGAAGCTTCATCAGATTTTCGAAGACTTCATCTGACTTCAAAAGACTTGTTGAGACTTCATGAGATTTGAGAATATTTGAGAAGACTTGATCAGAGTTCAAGGCTGAAGTCTTAGTTGTTTCTTCCTCGTTATTTTTATTCTAAAAAATTATTTTAAATAAGACCTTATGGAAATAAATGAAAATAAAAGTCTAATGATATCGTTAATAATATTAATTCTATAAGATATTTATTAAGATATTGAATTGTAAAATTTACTTTTGTATCAACTGTTGAATAAATTCTATCGGTATAGTAATATATTACTCTTTTTATTAATATTATTAGTTGATTATATAAAATATAATAGATTTATAGAAGAAAACGAGAAGTTTGCTTTATCTATGATTAACTATTATATATATTCGATTGTTTTCTTATATGGTGTGTAGATTTATTAATTCATATCTATAAATCTAAGTTAGGAGTTTGTCAATATTGAAAGAGAGTTTTATGAAACAGATTTTTCTAATAAATTCAATTAAAAATAAGTTTATCTTAGAAATGTTCAATAAAAATAAAAAGAATAAAAAATGAAGTTTGTTTTGATTTGAGTTGTCATTTTTTTTCTTAATGATTATTTGTTTCTGAATTTGAACATAACTATAAATGATATATAAAGCCAAAATATATATAGATTGTTAAGTTTTATTGAAATTATATATCAACGAACAACAACAACAATAACTTCGTAGTGTTTAAGATAATTAATTCTATTAAATAGAATAATATATATATATATATATTCTTGTTGATATATAATATTAAACAAGATAATATATGTTGCTTTATTTATTTATTAAAATCGTTTTGAATATGTGTTTTTGTTTTGTTTCTCATATGAATAGTGAATTGATTGATAATTGAGATATAAATATTAATTATTGAAAAATAATATATTATTTAGTTAAAATAAAAAGGTAACAGATAATCGATACTATTTTATTTTATTTTATTTTATTATAATTAATATATTAAAATCTAGTTATTTATTTTAAAATAAAACATTTGTATTTTTCTAGTTTTAGTTTTATTTTCTATTTTATATCTATTATATGTCCAAGTTAATATATATCAATTTAATATAGAACATTTATATTTTATTGTTCAATTAAAATCTATCAATAATTATTATTGTTTATAAATATCGTAGAAAATAGGAATAAACGTAGATAAATAAATAAAACAAATGATTATCATTTTAAATAAGTATAATGATCAATAAATATAATTTCATTAGATTATATTATTAACTTAGTCAATATATATTCGATATATATTGTTCCTAGAGATTCTATTCATAGACAGTCGACTTGCTCTTAAATAGATTGACTAATAAAACATCAAGAATATTTTTTTTTTGTTTTTGTTAATGAAACCGTTATATATTCTATTAAGGTTAGTGAGAATATTTCTAATCTGTGTTAATCCTATTTATAATCAAAGTATTGAATATAATTCTGAGTAACAGTTTTCCAAAGTACATTGATTTTGATTGTAAACAAAGTGAATTATTTATTGATCATTTTCGATAGTGAAGAGCTCTTGGTTAGTTAACTATTGACAATAAGATTATTTAAACGATAATTATCGTATTTTTGAAGTGTAAATACTCATTAGACTATAATAGAAAATTCGAGTTACTCTCTTTAAATGATTCTATTGTATAGGGAAAAAATATCAATTAAGTTAATTTTTCGACTACTTTTTGTTTTTTTTTTTTGCAACGAATTGATAATCATTCAAGAAAATAATCTTTATATAGTATAAACTATTTCTTTTATCGATTTTTAGAAAAAAAAACAAACAAAAAAAAGTGATATATTAATAAGATAGAATGTCAAGATTATTTCTCGGATATATATATATAGTTTCCAGTCAGTTCAATAACAAGTATTCATGATAGATCAATAAGAATAATTATACTGATATAATCACTGACTTATATCATCACCAGAAATGTTGCATTACTTTGTTTTTTTTTTGAGAAATAGAAAAAACGATAAAATTATTCTATTTCAGTTAAAGTAAATAGTTTTCAAAGGGGTAGTTTTCAACATTGTTTTTGTTATTTTCAATAAAAATTCAATGTATTTAGTTGATATTTAAAAAGACAAAACAATAATTGATTAAGTGAAAATAAATAGAAAAGATATTGAAAATATTTTCATGGATAACATTTATTGAGACATTATATAGATAATCTTTATTTTATTTATCTTTTATAGGTTTTTCTTATTATCATTTAATTAATATTTATTATATACAATTTCATAGAACAATTTCAAACGTTTTATTAAGAAAAAATTTATTTTTTTTTTGTTGATATATTGTACTTTTTGATATATTTATCTTATGTTTAATAGACGTTTAATAGAAAATAATAAAAAAAAAAAAGTGTCAGATGTAAAAAAACAAAAAAAGATAGTTTTGTACTCTATAATATTTATATTTTCATCAGTTAAAACAAGTTTTTTTCGAAGGCAAGAATATTGATAAAGATCTAGTTAGAGTGACTACTTACATTATTTCTATAAATTTTATTTTTTTTTCTAATCAATGCCTATAAGCGTTTGTAAATTTCGAATAAGAATTTCTCAGTGGTGTATTCGTTACTTAATTATCTGCAATGTAATCCCAACCTCATTCACTTGAACACCAAATCATTGTCTGATCTATTCCACTCTTACCTAACAGCGTTCAATCACATCTACCTCATATCGATATCACACTAATCTAACTCTACACTAGATCTTGATCATCCCTATATCATATATCTTTCACTCTCATATCACATTTTCTTCGAGTGACATCCTCTTTCCTTCACTTACATCTAATCAACACTTCAACATTATCTATAGAATTAGCGCTACGATGTTATATCGTTTATATCATTTGTAGCTATTCTACTCTCTTACCTTCTTATTATCTTCTACCCTTCTAGACTGATGACTTTTGACTCGACACAGAGACACACGTATATCTACACTGAAGATAATATATCGATGAATTGAAAAATTATTGTACCGTTTGTAGTTCTAAACGTAAAACTTGAATAATTCCAGTTCCTCTTAGCCAACCTTTATGAAAATTTCAGGTTATGCTTTTGTAGTTAATGCTCACTATCGCACAAAAAAATCACGAATCTATCACGAGTCCATCCTGATATATTCTATACACAAGATGCAAAATATTGACTTTTGTTGCCGTCTATTGATAGAAAATGACTCATACCTGATTGGTTTTCTGGTCATTTGAATTTTGATAGTTGATGATATTTATAGTAGAGAGTGTATACATCGCAGATATGAGACTGATTGGTTCTTTCATTACAGCTTTATATTAGATATTTCTCTGAATATCCATCCCATGTACTGCCAATGCTCAAGATGATGTCACACGAAATTTAAAAACGGCTTTACTGTATAATAATGCATTGAAAATTTGTTGAATGGATTTTGAATGAAAGCTTATCAATGGGGAATAAAACCACAAAAGATGATGTTAAACTTTTACTTATTGTTGTTAAGAGAAGAATATAAAATAGAATTTGAAAATATTGTTGTCACACGAGATTTCATACTTTGTTTATCGTATTAGTTTTTGTAAATTAAGACAGATTGAGCTGAAATTTTTATCATTTTATCTGCTAGTTTGTGGTCAAATATTATTGAAAATATCGCGATTTGAATACGTACGCTAATGTAAATACATTAAAAGTTACTTGATTTCCTGTTTAAGTAACTATTAAAACTCGTGCAAATACTCTCTAATTTATTTCTTAGGTTTCACACACAAAAATCCAGTGATTGTATATAAAAACTAACACATTATCAGAGTTATATGATCTAGTTTTATTCAATTAGACTCTTAATAATATTTGAATGAATTAAGCAAAATCGTTTCTATATATAAACTGAAGTATTTTCAACGCATTGTGTTAAACTCTTGTATTTAAGTAATTTTTTGATATAAGAGCTACACAAAATCATTGAACCATTTTTCATAGGTTTTTAAATTATTTTTCTACAATAGAGTCATACTTAAAGTGGTAATCTGGAAAATTTATTCTTTTTATTTTCTCATATAATACAGCTAAAAATACTACTATTTTTTTTCGTGCGTTTTTTTTCCTCAAAACAGTACAATATTTTTGTAATTCATCGATATATATGCAGATGATTGATCTGTAAATGAATGTTAATTGAAATGACTACACTAATAGATATATTTATTAATTATTGAATAATAAGGAAAGACTGATATTTACTAAATATCTAATAAAATAAAAGAGGGACAAAAACAATAAAAAAGGAAAAGTTTTTATATTAAAATAAAGTTTGTCATTCTAAAAAAAAAGAAAAAAGAAAAAAGGCGTCTAACTAAATGTTACGATCTAATAAGATCATATAATGCTTCAATAAGTGTAGCTGAAGACCAAGCTTGTAGATTACATGAATATGGACATAAACGTCCATCAGCATTTGTTAATTCAGGTAAACCTTTCCAATCATTTGAATTAAATAAATCAATTTGTAATGATATTATTTGTCGAATATGTTTTATTGTTTGTTTATATATAATTGGATCATTTTGTTCTTTTGACCAATAAAGTTTTGATCTTAAATAATAACCCATTAACCATAACCATTCTGGACCATTATGATAATTAAAACCACCTGCTCGTTTATAATCATGAGAATCATCATCATTTACATAATCACCAACATAATTATAATCACTTTAATTATAAATAATTAATTAAAAAAAATATAAGATATTATTTATTTAGTTTAGGTTTTTTCATTACCTTGGATCAAGTGTTTTTATTCCATATTTACCCAAAAGAATTGTTTCAGCTTGTTTTAATGCTAACCATATATGAGTTTTATCAAACATTTCCGGAGCCTTTTAATAAAAAAATAAAGAAAAAATATTTATAAAATAAAGAGAAAAATCGAATATTACAATAACAGAAGCAATAATAAAATTGGGTCTTAATTGAAAATCAGTCCATTTAAATGTTGAATTAACTGTATCTTTATATATTTGTTTTCGATTAACATATTCCGATGAATTTGATTGATCAATCCAAAATTCTTTTTCAAAATTTTCATCAATACGATTTAACCAATCAGTAAAAAGTAATTTGATTTTTCCACTAGATCCTTTATAAATATATTCAATATATATATTAGTAATAAATAAAAAATAAATACCTGAAGATGTATCAACAGAATCATAAGGATAATATCCTTGTTTATTCATATGAATAATCCATGAAATAGTTGCACGAGATAAAGCAACTAATTCAATAGCTGAACCATCACGTGGTGTTGCTGGATGACCTTTATTTGATGCTTTTTCACTTGAACCCATTTTATCCATCCATGTTCCACAATTCCATTGATTACCTCCATAAACAAAACCAGTTTTTGTATCAATACCAATTTGATTATTAAAACCTTGATCATTCATATTCGAATCTAGAGAATGTCCAGCACCACGTTCTCGAAATGTTAATAATTGAACATGACGTAAAAGTGCTTCATGAATAACATCATATAATAATTGATCATGTAAACCAACTGCTTGTGCTGGACTATCATTTGTTGGATATAAACGTGAAACTTTATCATTAAGTATATCATAACCATCAGGTACTAAATGTGTATATATTGATATTGAATATAACCACCACCAAACAGCATCACGTGCATTATAACGAGCTGTTTTACCATCAGATAATAAATTTGGAATTAAACCATGACGAAGACATCCACCATAAGATAATATTAAATAACGAGCTTCTTCATATCTTCCAGTTAATAAAAGAAGACCACGTAATGATATAAATGTATCTCTACCCCAATTTCTCCATATACCAGCAGAAAAATGTGGAAAACCTGCAGCTAACGATGGACTATATTGAACATATTCAAGTGTTTGTTCATCTTTTCCTTCTAATGGACGAGGTTCACGTAAATTTGGTGATAATAATGGTAAACGTGCATCACGAACATAACTTATTAATTGAATTGTTGATTGAGAAAGTTTTTTAACAAATATTGATGATTGATTTATAAATGGACTCATTAATTGATAACTATGTTCAATTAATATATTATATGAACCATTTAATATTAAATCAAAATAAATTGGAATCATTAAACGAGATAATTTACTTATATATTCAAATGCATTTTCATACCATTCTCCTAACTTTTAATTTAATTTAATTATTTATTATAATAAAGATAAAGAAAAAGAAAAATAACAAACCTGTTTTGTATTTGAATATATTTTAAGTCTATTTGATATATAAATCATTAACCAATTTCCTTGTTTTAAATTAATAATAAATGGATGTTTTATTTGATTAAATAAATGAATTTTATCTAAAATAGATATTTGTCCTTGAATACCACAATAAATAAGTTTTCCATAATCAGGTATTGAATAAACATCAAAACCTTTTCCATCGGATTGTTCTTCAATTGATGTTCGATAAATAATACGTTCTAAATCAACTAATGTTAATTGTTTAACAATTTGATTAAATTGACTATCATGAATATTAAATTGATTTAATAATTGTTTTATATTAATAACTGATTGTTGAATATGTGAAAGAAGTGAAATTTCTAATATAATAATTGAACCTTTTTTAAATTCTTCTGTAAATTCAATTGTTCGAAATCCAATATAATCTTTTGAATTTGATGATGTTAAACGAATAAAACGACTTTTATCTATTGATAGATTTTCATTAAGATAAACATTTTTACATTCAATTCCATTAATATATTCATTTGATCTTTTAAAATTTTTAATTAAATCATTTTCTTCTTGATTATTATTATTATTATTATTAATTGATGCTTCAATTATTATTTCATCAATTATTCCTTCAATTGATAATGGACTTATACGAACATTTTCTTCAATAAATGATGTATAAGCAATTAATAATATTGATTTATGTGTTGAAGGATTATAACGAGTTATTAATAAAACATTTTTTGTTAATTGATCAACTAATAACTAGAAGTTTTTTATTAAGAAAAATAAAAGTATTAATCAAGCTTTTATTTTTTATAAAAACTTATATCTATTTAAAATAAATCTTCGAAAGATATTTTTTTGTTTTTTATTAATATTTATCCTTTCTCGTCATTATTATTTGGTAATTTTTTTTTTTGCTCGAGAATTTCTTATGAAAATAAAAATGAAAAAAAAACAAAGAAATGATTTTATTTAAATTAAATGAATGATTAATTTATATTTTAATTAAATATTATTTTTGTTATTCTCGAATTAAATAATAATAAAATAAAAACAAAATCAAACCTGAGTATAACCTTGTTGAGCAAGATCAATATGTAATTTATTGAGAGATTTTTTAATAGAAATCATAGCAGTTTTTTCATTTGTTTGTTCTGATTGATAACCCCATTTAGGATAAAATCTTGTTTCATGAACAACATCAATATAATGTGGAACTAATTCATCATAACCTCGATTTGAACCAGTTGAACAATAAGCCATTGATATACAAGCTGAACGTGGTATTGCATCTTCAATTGATCTTCTTTCAATTTGACATGGATTATCATGTGTTTGATCATAAAACCATGAATATGGTTTAATTGATATTAATTTTTCACTTTTCTTTTTAACAAATGAACCAATTGGATCACCATCACTATATAATGATACATATTGACCTAATTCATATGCATTATTTGCTCTCCAAGATTCTTTAAATATAAAACACATATTTTTTTATTTTATTTTAGAATAAAAATTATTATTAAAATAAACCTTTAACTAAAGAATCAATTCCAATTTGATGAATAAAATAAATATCAATTGACATATTTCCTGTAAAAAGTTCAGCATTAATATAAAAATTGGGATTTATTTCTCTAGCATAATCCATCATTTGTTGGGCAAACCATAATGGTGTTGAATGACAATTATCAAGACGACAACCATGAAATGTGTTTGCTATTAAACGTGTATATTCTTTCATATATGAATATAATGATGGACAATCTTCACATCGAGAACCAAAACGAAGTTTTATTAAATCAGACCATTGAATTAAATCTCGACATAAATAAACATATTGACCTTTGAAATAAAGAAAAAGTTTAAATAAAAAAAATAAAATAAAATTGAAACCTTCATCAGCAAAACATCTAAGAGGATCATCATTGATAACCCAACCATTATGAGCCATAATATATAATTGATAATTATAATCATATTCAATTAATTTATTAATATCATCTGGATGTTTAAATTCTCCATTTGGATAATAAAAATAATTTCCAACAAATGGTGTTGATGGTAAAGATAATTTTTTATAATTTGGTCCATCAGATGAAAAAAAATGATAACGACATGAAGCAATACAATTATCAATAGCTCGATTTAAATAACTATTTAATTTATCTTTAATTAAATTATTTAAATTATCTAGACGATAACGTAATGCATTACATGCTGCATCAATCCATTGTTCTTTTGTTGATATATTTTCTCTTTTATAATAATATATTTTTTCACATAAATCAAGATCAACAAAACTTTTCATTCTTTGATATTTTCCATGATTTATTTCAATTATATTTTCATTTAAATATAATGGTTTATCAGGACAATCATTTAATAAAGATAATTTATTATTAAATTGTTCAACAATTATATTTATATCACATATATAATATTCTTCTATATGATATTGAGGAATTATTTCATTCAATAAATAATGACGAATTAATTGTAAATGATGTTCTTTTATTTCATCTGGAATACCTATTGATAAAAGTTTTCCTTCACTTGCATCACGAGTAAATTGCATTAATATTGAATCAATAAGTACAGCTGATTTTAAATGTGGAGAATTAACTAAATTATAAGCAGCTTCGGGATGATCTTGAAGTAAAGCACAATTATTTGCTACATGATTATAAACAAGATCAGTTATTGATAAAACTCTCCATTCTTTAGCCATATTATCAATTAATATTTTTATTTCTTCATATGTACCTTCAAATATTGAATTTAATTTATGATGATCACTTATTGAATATGAGGAATTTGATACATTATAAAGATATTGAATTGGTGTAAAATGTATCATATTATAACCTGAATGACGTGTTACTTCAATACGTGATAACCATTCCGATAAAGGACCTAAGGATTTTGATAATACTGATTGACATGTTATATATTCTTGTTCTAATACTTCACCACTTCCATCTGGCCAAATTAAATATGGTTCAATATGAAAATAACCTTGACCATTTTTATTTTCTTTTATTCTATATAGAAATAAATATATTTTTTTTTTATTTCTTCTATTAAGAAGAAAACAAAATATCAACTCACGTTGTTCTATCAATAGTAAAAAAATAATGAAATGAACCCGATTTACAACATGATAATGAAACATAACGATCGGAATCATCATATTTTCCAGATGATGGATAAATCCATTTTAATTCATGATAAGTATTTCGTTCAAATTTATCTTCTTCATTAAGACAAGCATTGGTGAATATTCGAACTTTTCTCCATGATAAATTAGCAGATAGTTTTATTTGAAGTGTCCAACCTTTTAATTACAATAAATAAAATGATATTGTTCTTTTTTTTTTGTATAAATAAATATAAACCTTTTTTTAATCGATAGAGTTCTTCACTTTTATCTTCGCCTTCGTTCAAAACAAGAATACGTACTTGTTCATCATTAGAATGATTCGATGTACTCATTTTACTTTCTAGAAAAATATGAAGTGATTTTTACTTTTTAATACATATACACTCTATTTCTATAGATGTTGTTTTTTTTCTGTTCTGTTTAAGAAATTCTGTCAAAATTCATGATCACAGTCTATTATAGTAAAACTAATAAGATGTTTTTCTGTTTTTGTTTATGTAAAAAAAGGAATTCTTTTCCATCACTATAACAAGTTTATTCTAGATGTCACCAGAAGACGAATCAGTAACTCTTTGTTTACATATACACTTAAAAATTCTATAGAGAAGAGAAATGGTGTCTTATCATAAAGGAGGATAAATTCTCAACAATAGTTTTTTTTTCATACTTTTTTTCGTGATGTAGAACGCTGAAATTCTTTCTATGTGTTTTATCCAACATTGTCCAATTAGAAAGAATTCACCATTTTTATATACCCTCTATATTTATCAATCCAAAACTCTAGTTGAGTGTGGATGTAGGTTTTTTCTTCAGTTACACTAGTATACTCACAACCTCAAGTAATAAGTAACTAATACCAATACATATCGGTGTAGGATGCGACAGAAAAAACTACACAAAAGAAACACAAGGAAGAAAAACAGCATAAAAATAAAAACTAAAAAATATATTTAGGTGTTTGTAGCGCCTAATGTTCTCGAAATCACGAAAAAAATGGCGATTAATGGTGATATATCGAAACGATAATCGTGAGCTGAAATTGCCAATTTTTTCGATGATTCTGACGATTCTTCTGCGAAATCATGGTTTTATGCTCGATTATTATCGTTTACTGAATTAATAATTCTAATGATTTTGCTCATATAATTCAGATTTCTACCGTTATATAGACCAGTTTCTATTACTGCATAATTTATGTTAACGGCTATTTTTATTGAAAACTTGAGTATTTAGATTATTCTGCATGAATAAAAGATGTAATCAAAATAAAAATACTAATGCGACATACAATTTTTTTATGTCAATCAGAACACTATTGAAAATTGAAAAAGAAACAAAACAAAAGTAAAAAAAACAATCGTTCATTTCTACAAATTGATCCATGTCATTCACACCGCTCGAAAACTGACGGTTAACCTCATTTCTCCAGCTGAACTTTTTTTCGTATCGCAATGGATCAATTTTTTACTCTTACAAACTTGAGCAAGTTTGATCGCAATCATGCGTACTGAATACGATCGATGCGCTGGAGCTGTCTGTACCAGTCACATCTCTCATATTCGCCTAGTTTTCAAGTTTGACTTCTTATCAACGATGACGTCATAAAAAAAAATAGTCATTCGTTAGACGACTTGATCAATGGAAAAATATGTGGCGCCATCTGACAGAATTCAGTATTGCATGATTAAGTCGATTATTTGAAAGTTGGAATCGACTTTTTCAAAACTAAAAATATTATTTTAGTTAAAAAGAAACGATAAATGAAAGAAAGTCGAGTCCAACGGTCGGTTTTTGATAAAAAATCGACGACATGGGGATGCTCTGAAGCGACCTTTTTCTGAAAGCATTCCATAGATCGTCATTTTTTTTTATAAATTAAGTATCTAAAAACGTGAATGGAAGATAAATGGTGCCTAAAACTAAGAGTAAAAGGATACTGACAAAAGATGTTATCTTGGAGAATAGCGACAAGTTTATTTTAACTTTACATCAATCTAGAATTGAAGAACTCATTCGAGACTAAATCTACAATGGAAAAATTCTAATTGAAAAATTATTTGATCTCGAAATATATCTGAAATTGTATATATTATCAAAAACATCTTTTGCAGTAAATGAATGTGAATGCAAAGTTCAGGTCGATTGTTTTCTTTAATTGTCCAATCTCGTTCAGATCCTAGTAGTGACATCCATACTCGAACAAAATCTTTCTCTTAGTTTAAAAGCTCTGTGATTAAGGTTAGAAAATGTACAGAAATTATATTTATCTGTCGATTTAACAGTTCTTCGAACATTTCTCTAATTAATTGTAAATTAGTCATCAGTGATTGAAACCAGTGATTAAATATGATTGATCGCTGATTTTCGAAAAATCGTTTCTCGTGTCATAATCACGATAAAATCTTATTAAGCCACTCATGTTCTTATAACAATGATTAATCATGAATTTACGTGGGGTTTTTTTAGATAATCGCCAAAATCGCCATGATTTTCGCGGCAGGGATCTGTTCGCTCTACTTAACGTTCTGGTTATATATTAGGATGTTAATCTCCATATGGTATTAATTAAGATCCCTCGTCCCTTTCCAGAGATGATATTTGCAGGTTGTATCCATTCCACTAATTCATCTTTACTTTACTTTTCAAGTACCAAGACTTAACAAACTCGAACATCGTTTGTTATCTATTCTGATTGAAACTGTTGATTGTATTATGAATATCTGCACTTTTTATTCGTATTCTTCACTAACAATGGAGGCGTTTGTGTCGTAATTGGAAAAGATGGGATATACCCAGATCGAAAGACAGCTCTCAACGCCAAACTAACACGATTAAAATGAACGTCGTAATCAGGGTTTTTAGACCAATGGACAAGGTTTTTATTGATAGGTCAAAAACCTTTTGACCCAAAAAAAGTACTGGTAACGTAAAAAAGCACAAAAAGATGGAATGAGATTCTTTTAAATCAAATATGCATCGAACTCAGATCTTAAACCTGAGTCCATTGTGTTTTAGTCTATTTCTAATATCTCTGTTTATAACATTTAGATTCAAATTCAAACATCAAAATCAAGACGACGATGATGCATTTGTGTATATGATTCCAATATTGTCTTGATTTATATGGAGATCTTTATAAATCTATACAGAGATAAGTCCGTGTAGCCTATTTTGTTTTATTGTAGATTGACAACAACTTTTCATTCTCGATAATTGACTGAAACTTCTTCCAGTAGACGTTGTTAATACGAGCAATGTTGCCAAGAAAATTAATAGATAAAGAACATTTGGATCTAATACATGATTATTCTGGTGTGACGTAGATTGGGAAGGAGCGAAATTTTTTTTAATTTTTGAAAAATCCACGAAGATTTTTCAAAACTTCTTAAAAAAAGGCGTCAATTATAGAGCAAAAAACGAGTCTATGGGCTTTTTTATTTCAAACTGAATTCTAAAATCAAAAAAACCACACCAATTTCTTCCGAATCAAACTTTTCTCGTTTGAGACTACGTAGTCTCACTAAAAACCCTTAGTCCCCCCTAGTCCTGCAAAGTCCCCCTTAGTCCCCCCCACAAAAAGCTTAGTCCCCGCTTAGTCCCCTGTGCAGGGGACTAAAGCCTATAGTACACAAAACCACAAGCACACCCTCACCCTCACTCGCGCGCCCACACCCGCACCATGGGTGTGGGTGTGTGTGTTGGTCCCAGACCAACACCCACACCCTCAGTCACTCCCCCCCCCTCACTCCTAGACTCACGTTTCAGTTTGAAATCAAGTATTATTTTTATTTGATAAATTCAGACTGAAATTAAATAGCCCATTGTATGCAAAAAACATGGAATTTTCAAAGATTAGAAGAGGCCACACGCCTCTTTCCGTTGGGAACACCCCTGATATAATACATTGTCTGTCTCTTCAATTAGTTCATTGGATCATTTTTTTTCTTCAGTCATCTTAGGCGGAAGGAAAAAAAATACAGTTACTATCAAATTCGAAAATAAATAAACAATTCTGAAATATAAAACTTCCATGAGAAATGGCCCATTTGCCACTCTCTTGGCTACGCCGCTGCTTAATTACGAGAAGACATCGAAACTAATGTGATCTTAATGCTATTGATAAATTTCAGAAAATTCATGTAGCCTACTCATTGAAAAAATATCAGATTATGGAAGGTTTTAGTAGAGTATAATCGGATTTTTCTGCAACAAAATCCAAATTATAATTGATTGAAATCTTCGAAGTCAATAATAATCCTTAAAATCCGGAAAAATTTGGATTAAAATCATGCAGTTTTGATTAAAATAATATAGTCTTGATTTGTTTCGATTATAATCCGAATTTTTCTATATTTTAAAAATTTTCGATTGGTTGAAAATCAAATTATTGTTGATTTCGAAGATTTTAATCGATTATAATTTGAATTTTGTTTCAGAAAAATCCGATTGTAATCTACTGAAATCTTATATCATCTAATATTTTTTCACTGTATACTCTTGAAATACTCAGTTGATCGTATAAAAAATTAATGTGCATAAATAATCCTAATGTTCCTCTATATTCCAACTGTGGGTATCGTAAAAATCGAATATCTCTCTGTAGGCAAGCATAGAGCCGCTCATATGTTAAATTTGTTAGTTTGGTGTTGAGAACTTTCTTTTGATCTAAATATATTCTATCTATCTAATTTATAACACAAACATCTCCATTGTTAGATAACTCAAGTTCCTGACGTCGCACAAAACTAAATTTCAGTTTTCGCTGTAGAACAAACATTTCTCTAAATATTCTAAATGAGCTCTATTCCGAATAAAAAACATCAGAGAAGAATTCGATGATGCTATAATCACTCTTATT